GAAGCCAGGAGAGAGACAGATGCCCTATATATCCACAACTAAGTCTGCCACCTGGAAACTTAGGCAGTTGGATGGTGAGCTGACGGAGTTCCTGACCGTCTGAAGACACAAGCCAGCGGCAGAATGAGGAGACACTGGAACTAATGTCTGTCCATCAGGGTTTTTTATTTTACAGCATTTTATTTTATTTCATTTTATTTTTTGCTCTTATTTTTTGTGTTTGCGTGTTTTGGAGTTTGCAACATTTGCACTTGCAGTCAATTTTTTGAATGCAATATTTTTATTTTGCATCACTTTGTCGTTTGCAGAGCATTTAGCTGTTTGCTGGGGATTCGCCCTTGTCAGTCACCTCATCTTACGCACACATTTTGCCGTTATCACTTTCCCGTACATTTTAACCCAGGAGTCTTTGTGGTTTAGAGATGAGTTTTCATAGGTTTCATAGAAATTGATCCAATCTCTCATATAAGCATCAATGACTTTTCCCGGTTGTGCCTTTATACTGTTAGACACCTACAGTAGTGAGGTCTAAAAATGTCTAATGAGCTGTAAATTTTGTTTTAGATGTTCACTCAGTAATGTCTGCATCCATTCATCCATCTTTTTTTTTTTTTTTACCATTTTAATTCTGATCAAAGCCAAAGCTGGTATTTGTCTTGATCTGTGACTGGATGAGAGGTGGGGGGCAGGGAGTCAATTCCAGGACCACATCATAACAAACATGCTGTTTACCCTAACCTGCAAGTTTTTAGAAGGTGGGAGAAAACTACATTGCTCAGAAAGAACCCACTGACAGAAATGTCACCATTGTGTAAAAGGTCACCTGTGACACCATGCAACACACAATACCATGGTTTTCCTCAACAAGAGGTTGGAAACAAATACAATGTTTATGTTGAACTGGTCTGCCTTTCTTTGCAAAAAATAATCTGTTCTACACAAATTTATATATAATAAAGACAGAGCCTGATAATGAAAAATAAAACAGACAGTTTAGGTTGTGGTTTGATTTAATTRAATTTGACTTAAAAGGAGTAAACCACATAAATGAATTAGTTAAATAAATGCAGATGACAGTAATGCTCAGAGAAATGCACATCTTTAGAGTTTCACAGAAAGCAGCAATTTAATCTGTGCCTAAATTTACAAACAAATGTTTTCATTTCTGAGAAGCAACCTTTCTCTGAATTTCAGTTTRTCACCTCCTCTTCACATGTGACTTTTAAAAGTTTTGGTTCCTTGTAGAGGCCAAAACCACTTTTCGCCTTTTGGTTTCTGTCTTGTGTACAGACAGAGCAGTGCTGAGTAATAGAACGTGGGAGGTCCGTCAGAGACACTGTGCTGGTGCTGACGAAAAACAAAAAGGGACTTTTCCAAAAGATCAGCTGTTTGGGGAGGACTTCCCCTCAAATGGCCACAAGAATACAGGAAGAGCAAGTGTGTACAGTTGTATAATGTCACCCTCTGGTGGCTTAGAGAGCGTCGCACAAAGATCATCCAAAATAAGTCGCTAAGCATTCTCACTCAGCATCTCAGTTCTGATAAAACAAAGTTAAGAAAAGATCATCATCATCAACAACAACAACAACAACAACAACAACAACAACAACAACAACAACAACAACAACAACAACAACAACAACAACAACAACAACAACTTTGTTTGATGATTCATTTTAAGACCTGTACTGTGAAGCATGACTACACGGCAAAATTGTGTGTGTTTGGATCTGACTATCAGTCCACACAAGACATTGCAATATAGTGTAAAATAATTTAACCAAATTGGTTGTCACATCTCAACAAAATATGACTTTGTTCTAAATATACTGTATTAAAGATCTTATTGCTCCATATTTTCCTAACAGAGCGTTTCATACTATTATTGTGGTTAGAGTTTCTAAATGCAGAGCAGGAGGCAGAGCTTTCAGTTATCAAGCTCCTTTCTTGAAAAGTTCAACTCCAACTTCCAGTTTTGGTCCGAGCTGACACTCTGTCTTACTTTTAAGGTTAGACTGAAGKCTTTCCTTTTTGATAAATCCCATGTAGGGCTGGGTGTTTTGATTTATTAACAACATAATCAGAAAGTGTGGGTTCTAAGCTATCTAATGATGTCAAACACAGGACWATCAAAAATAAAATGAAGAAAATATGGACGCTTGAATGTTGGTAATCTGCAAACAAGATTACAGGGAAAACAGGACTCGGAGTTTCTTGGGGATGTTAACAATGACTGTTCATTAATTTGCATTAACKCCACCACTGAGCACTGACTGTGGTAGCTCTAGGAAAGTGTGCAGACAAAAGCTCAAAAGGCTCACAAGACAGAAGCTTGATTTTTGTAACACCACAAGTATGATTATTATTTAAAAGGTACACACAATTTTAATTCAAGTCTAGTTCATACCATCATGCTTATCTATGATTAAAATAACAAGTGTCACACCACCTGCTAAAATATAAATAGTTGTTTTTCTTTGTAAAACAATTTGTTTAACTTTCTATTGATTCTAGACCAAATTTATCTGGGGAACAAGATGGGGCTAGTGTTTTTTCATGGGGGCAAACAAGGCAGAAGCAAAAAGTGCAACACCTTCATTTTTACTTATTTTTTTGTTGAAGTAAAACAGTGACCAGGACCAATTTTACAGGGGCACTGCCCCCTGCTCATTACAGATTAGGACCACCCCTGTTCCCCACTCCTGCAGCTGCAGAATGGACTATCACTGTAGGTCTTGATGCTCAATTCTGACTTTTAAGTGTGAGCATTCACATTATATTTTAAATGTGACCTCCATCAGACTACTATGAACACTAGATTGTGCTGTTGTGACCCGCATTTTCTCAGAAAATGACAGTTTTTTTCTTTTATCTCAATTTGTGTGTCGCTGGTGTTATCGTGGCGCATCACATATTGTGATAGACACAGGATAAACTTCTATGGAAAAATTGTCTAGCAGAATGTTGATAATTTTACTAAACTCTGATCCAGAACCACATGGCATTCAGGGAGACGTAGGCAGAGGTATGGCTTTGGCTGCTTGACCTCTCACAGCCCAGTTAAGTAAGGTCAATGGCGTCAACTAACCCACTCACTCTTTGGTAAGCTAGGCTGAAAAGAGAAAGTGAGTGTGACAATTCAACTGTGGATAAAAGAAGAAAGGTCACTTCACTAATTTGGCAGTATTAATCAGCCTTTTTTCTCCTGGTCCTTATTTCAAATAGGTAAAATAAAAACATATCAATAATTATCGATATTGACTGTAATGAAAATCTTATGTCGTGATACATTTTTCAGCCATATTGCCCAGCCTGTTAGGCTTAGGTTACCTGAATTATCTGCTGCTGTAGATTAACAAACTGACCACTCTTTATGTTGTTGCCCTATCCCCAATGTGTTTTCAAGTGTTATTAAGTGTTTTTAATTGTTTTTGCACTCTCAGGCCAACATTGTAAATAGGTTTTGCCTGGTGAAATAAAGGTTAAAAAATTCTTTACACTGCTGCTGTCTAGTCACTCTTCTCTACGTGTTTGTTGTAATTATTTCTATCAATGACACGTTTTTCTTTGTCTTTGTAGAAAAGTGACACCTGCACCAGTCATTCTGTGTTTTTTCTGTGTCTCTTTCCTCTCAAACCCAGCCGGTCGAGGCAAATGGCTGCCCGTCCCTGAGCCTGGTTTTGCCAGAAGGTTTCTTCCTGTTTAAAGGTTTTTTTCCCCCCACTGTCGCCAATGTGCTGCTCAGCGTGTGAGACTGTGACAAAGTGATGATTCAGCACAATCTGCAACACCTGACATGATGTTCATCATGACTTGGCGTTAATCTGAATTGAATGTTGTCCATGCAAACATAGCAGTGTAAAATTAACTGAAAGATATGTATATTAAAAATACTCCTGCCAAATAAATAAATAAATCAATAAATAAATAAACTTGGGTTATTCTCTTGAGTCCATTTTGTTCCAGAGCAGTCACCGCTGAGACACATTCACGTGAGACATTGTGCAGCATAAACAATGCAGAACAACATTAAAAAAGGTCTGAATCCTGCACAACTGGTTTGTCAGGTGGAACACTGGTAACACACCCTTATTTGTGAACAGAGGAGTGATCAGCTGAGAGGACTGGGAAATCTGGAAGTGGGAGGTCTTAAATGGGCAGTGAGAGGTTAGGCCTTCTGGTTAAACATTCTTGTGTTAAAAAAGGAGAAGAGGGGGAAAAACGAGATGATTTTCATGTTTGGACACCGTGTTCTGAACACTGCTTTGGAGTTAAAGTCAACCTGCATGTGAAAAAGTGCCACCTGTTTTCTCTCACCACTCATCACTTATTGCAGCACTGAACCCAATGGAGAAACGCGAGCAGGTAGGTTTTTACATCTGTTTTTACTGTATTGAAACCATCCTGCCTGTTCTGTCTCTCTGACTTTAGTTTGGCTCCATGCTCAGTTCAGTCTTCAGGTAAACTCTGTTAATAAGTTCTAGGCTGCCACTTTTCGCTCTGTTTACTCTGTGCTGTTAAGTTTCTGTGCATTCCAGTGGTTAAAAACCTGTGAAACCATCTAAACAGTAAAGAATTCTGTTTCATCCCTAGCTTTAACATAAAGTTTCATTAGTTTCAGTTTATCTGACAAGCAGCAGGTGCGTCAGGATTTTTTGTCTCTGTTTCAATGTGGCATTGTTTTCATTTAAAATTAATTTCAATTGATTAAACTCAGTTATGTGACAATATTAAAAAAAGTTTAAGATGTAGAAATTGTTTTTAGTTTTATATAGTTTACATAAAATATATGTTTGAATAGTTTATTTCAAAATGTTTAGAAAAACCAGAAAATGTCATCAGTTCAATTCAATTCAAAAACACTTTATTCATCCCAAAGGGAAATTAGATTAAACAAATTATAGTTAAACACAAAGTAATAAACATGTTGTAATAGAACTAATGCTTTATGTTTAAGCAGGTGATTCATGACATCCTTTAATAAACAAACAGGCTAACATTCTTTTGCATTATGAAAAACTAAATGTCTAAGGATATTTAATAATAGATGTAAAAATGTCCGTAGTTTTTTTTTTTTATTTGCATAAAAATATCAAAAATGCATCCAGTGATTTGGAGTTGCAGAAATCCCGTTGCTTTGAGAAGTACACAATGTACAGGAGTTATGAAAAGAAAAATATTCGGTTACAATTTTTTAAAGACAATATTCACAACTTTATTTCTTTTAAGAAAATCGGAGTGGAAGCAAAACATAAAACAACGCTCAAATTTCTGTATCTTCTTATTTTGTACTTTTACATCACTTGATTGTGGAGAAAACAGTACCGGGTTATTTTCTTGCACTTTTCCACAATAAAGACCAACAGACCGACTGTGCAACATGATCTGTAAACTCTTTTGGGACGAATGAGTCTCGACCATTTGACTACAGAAACCGGGGTGTAACCTTACCAGCAGGCAGGTTTGAAAACGTCACCTGCTTCGACTACAAACTTTTACAGTAATAACTTTGTGAGAATTACTGTGAAACTTGGAGTTTTTACACCTCCATGCCACCACTAACTTCTTGAGTTCACACAGGCAAAATACAACAATGACAAGAAATTAATCTGCACTTTGAAAAAGATAAGAACACATCACACTGCAGAACCCACAGTTATAATTAGACTTAATAGTTCTGAGTTATACCTGTCATTTAAAACACTCTTAAGATGTCCTCTTTTTTGTAAAGCTTATTAGAGGAGAAAATAAATTATTGTCACAAACTTGTTCTGCTACATTGTGTAGCTTTTTATAAATCCTTAGTTGACACAACAGACAATTAATGAGAACACAGCTGTATTTAAACAAGTTTAGCCACATAACATTCATAGCGTTTTCATTCCCAAAAGGAAGTAAGCAAGTTTTCCGTAAGCTGAGTAAAGGTCAATGTGTTATTTATTAAAATCTTTGTGTGACAATGTCAACCAATCAGAACTTCCCAAACATGGTTTTATGAAGCCAAGAAATAATTAGAGACATACTTACGATAAACTGTACAATTATGGTTTTGTTGTGGGGCACATAAATAAATAAATAAATAAATAAATAAACATGAGCAAATTAGCAACATGTGTATAGGAGTGACACTTTTTAAATGTCTTCATGCATTACTGAGACCCTTTTCAAATGGTTTTGTAAAAAAAAGAAGAAAAAATTGTGCGCTCTGGTAACATATTTATTCCAAATGTGCTGATTAGAAACAATTATTAACTCACTCACAGGAGAGAAAAAAGCACAGCACAGCATTTTTAAAGGCATATAAATGAGTTGGTTTCCATGAATGTCCCAAACATCCCAACACTGTGTCTAAGTGATTTACCCCAGACATTTTAAAGTTGTGGATGATTAATTTTTTTTCTAAGAAGAAATCTTCCAAGTTACAGTTTAAAAAAAAAACAAAAGTAAAAAGAAAAACACAGAAAATGTTTTCAAATCACAAGGCTTTTATTAACTATTTTGTGTATAATAGCTAAACTTCAGTTCGCTATAGTAGGATGTAAAAATCAACTCATAAAGGACAGAATGAGCTTTAAATGAAGACAATCACATTGTTACAATATATGTTCATAACTTAAAGGTTTTGTTTCACCTTAAAAAGAATCTGAAGTCTGTCTTGTTTAAAACAAGTCATTGCTTTGTGAGTTTCACTAGAACCTTTGCTCAGCGCTGATATCCTCCTAAAACCACAGTTTTAGCTACTTTCTGCTTCTTATCACATTTTTATAAATAATATTTACTAAAACATTCAAAAACTGATTAGGTTCTCTATGAAAAATTACAGACAAATAGTATAAAGTTTAAAAAATGTACAAATAAAAGAAAGCTAAGAAATGGTGGACAGAAAAACGAGGTCATGAACTTCAACAAGAGACTTTCAGTGTTCAAAACATGTCTTTTTGATTTGTTTGGAACCTTGGTGTTAAAGTGAAGACAATTTTTTTTTTCATGTTGGGATCATCAACAATAGATTGTGTGCTTAGTCCTGACAACCAAACACAAGTGATAAGTACAAATGAAATGTATTAACATTTGGAGCAGGCGGATTTAGTTCAAAGACACGATGGGCAAATGACAAATACCTCTTATTAAGCTGTGTAAAATCAAATATGTTAATATCAGTTTATTTATATTGCACATGGAAGTTGACCAATGTGCTTCATAATTCAGCCAAATTATAAAACAACAAAGAAACACAAATGTTCAAAAATAAGTAAAAGTTATTTAAAATACAGAAATACAACTTGAAACATCAGCTCTAAAAGATTCTTAATCAAAAGCTAAGGAGTAAAAATGGGTCTTAAGCATAGATTTAAAAGTCTCGATGGTCTCAGCGGTCTAAAAACAAAAAGGTAAACCATTCCACAACTGCAAAAACCCGATCACAGGAGGAATTTTAGTTCAAATCAAGGAATGTTTAAGAGAAACTAGTTGGATGACAGAAGTGCTCTAACTGAAGTATGGATACTGAGATCACAAAGATTTGATGGGGCCAGACCTTTAGAATAGAGGAATTTCATCTATTTAAGGTCTTTTGAAGTGAGGTTCTGGAAAATAAAGAAGAATCAAGAGCTTGCCTAGCACTTTTAGTTAAAATTTGGCCATATTGATGAGTTCAAGGCTGATATCTTCTTGACCCAACTCTGACTAAATGTTAGCTTGTCAATCCGAAGTAAATGCTTCTAAAAACATTTTGGATATTATTTAAACCTTTCTCTAGAATGCCAACATTTCAATTATTTTGTACATTCATATCTTTCTTTCAGGACACATTCTCTTCTCCTCCTAACTACTCTGCTGCCACAAACATCTATCCGCCTCTCCAGTCTTTTAAGGAGATGCATGGCAACTACCCACAGGTGTATGGCAACTACCCACAGTATGGCAACTACTCAGGCCAGGGACTCCCAAATTACATCCCTCAGTATGCACCACCTGTGATTGCTCCGCAAGTCACTGAAATCAGCCCACGTGAGTGATTCTTGCAGCCACTGCAGTTTAGGAATACAACAAATAAATGTGTGCAACAGTTCAAGGACATTTTGTTGGGTTGCTGACTGTATTCTCTCTGTATCTGTCCAGTCCCCAAGGATAAAGAGAACTGCTGTGGGAATAAAGCACAGATTTACAAAGCGGCAGCAGCAGCAGCAGCCATAGTGCTGCTGGCTCTGCTGGGTGTTGGTGTCTGGCTTGGAGGTACAGTACTTCGTGCATGCCTAATCAAAATAACATGCTAACGCTTTCATTTTTCATTTCCTTAACCTGTAACCTGCACTGTAATCTGCATTTTGATATTCCTGTCACAGAGTGCATTTTTGGCTACTTCTGTCTGGATTGTTTCTCATTATTAAAAATTCTACCTCATCCACAGTTTATTATGGCACTATGAAACTGGAAAGAGAGAACTTTTACAAACCTAATAACCAACTGAATGTACCAACAACTATTGCTCAGATCGTGAATGACACCTGCCCCATTAATGCTACCATATGCAATGGGATAAAAGACTGCCAAATGGGCACAGACGAAACATACTGTGGTGAGTACAGAAAGACTTCACCAGTGTGACCTTGGTGGAGGCTGGTCTTAAAGTGGCAGGACACATGACAAAAGCTAATTAATCTATACAAGACTATGAGGAATGCAAAAAACTGCTTGAGGAAAGTTTAAAAATGAAAACACGGGCAGTCATTTGTGATTCTTTGAATCTGCCTTATAATTAAATCCAAACATGCTTGCCAAGAAAAGTTTATATTTGTTTTAGTTTCCAGTTTGTTATTCTTGTCTGCCAGCAATTAGCCCTGTACGTGTCAGACTCTTTATTTCCTTGTTGCAGTGGAATTTGGCAAGAACAGCAGCCTGATTGTGAGGACTTGTGAGAATTGTAACTTCCTCCCAGTGTGTTACAGTGGCTGGGACAAAAACTACGCTGACCAGATCTGCTCTCAGCTTGGATTCAGAAAGTAAATAATGTGCAGTTTCATCAAAGCTACTCCAAAACATCACATATACAATAATTAATTTTCAACCTTAATTCAGATCTTATTTTTATTATTATTTTTATCATTTTACCTGATTGAACATTTTGATTTTTTTAAGAACTGACTAGGCACTGATTTGATTAAAGTATCACTGCAGTATTTATTTTATCATGTGAATAACCCATTTTCTCTCTCTCCAGTGCCTTTTCATTGAATATAATTAATTCCCAGAGTTCAAGTGGTGTAGAACTGACCAGTAGATCACCATCTTCTCTTATTCAAGGCTCAGTGAATGTCAGGTAAACATACCTTGTAATGTGCAGTCTGCTGGTTAATGCTGTGTATTTATACTAACTGAATGTGTGTTTTATTGTGGCATTGTGCAGTTCTGCCTGTTCAAACCAGGAGACTGTGTCCCTGCAGTGTGTAGGTAAGAAGCCTCTATCTATGTACATGATCACACAAAAGTTTACATTTATTTTTTTTACAGCATTTGGAACTCAGTTAAAACACCTATCTAAATGAATAAATCAAATCAGATCAACATCCTATTACATTACAACATTATTGTGTTCTGGAAAATTTGAAATGTGCAAACATTTGAACTGTACATGTGATTTAATTTAAGAGGAATTTTGTGGGTAACTGCTGCTTTGGCTGATAATAATTTCAGGATTTGTTAGTTGATGCATTAAAGAACCATTGATGCTAAACCTTTTGTAAAACATACGATGCTGCTCACTAAAATACAATGCAGATATCCATTTCTGATGCCTTGGTTCTTATTTAAAACTAGTTTAACTTTTAGCAGCTGCCTACTAGCTTTGATTATTTCTTACTCAGTTGACTAAGTTAGACCATAAATGACAATGTGGCAGTGCTAAATCAACACTATCAGTGTTAATTTAACTCTGACATATTTGTTATGTATGCTCATGTGATAAAAACACAAGTTTGCAAAGTTTGTTAGTTTAAATTTGAAAAAAGGATTTTTCAAATATAAATACCGGTATATGTATTTTTTCTAACATATTGTGAGTAATATTTCTTACTTTCAGACTGTGGTAGGCAGCCGGCTACATCCCGGATCATCGGGGGCACTGCAGCTCAGTCGGGTCGGTGGCCTTGGCAGCTGTCACTACAATACAGAGGACACCACACCTGTGGTGGCGTTTTGATCTCACCTGATTTTGTTGTAACTGCTGCTCATTGCTTCCCAACGTGAGTTTTTCAGAAAGAAGTTTTGTGAAATTGTAAAACTTTAAAATCATATATTTATTAACCATGAATATATATTTTAAAAAATCTTAATTTCTAAAATTTAATTTAAAACACAATTCATGCTGAACTTTAATCAACCCAGTATTCATCCGTTGTTTCATACAATGAAGTGATCAGTCTCTTTTCTGTGATTGCACCAGCCCTGATTACCGCTCTGCTCAGCAATGGAAAATTTATGGTGGATTTGTGTCTCTGAATAATCTGCCTAAACCTTTCTTGGTTGAGACAATCCGGATCAACGAGAACTATAACCGTCAAACCAATGACCAAGACGTTGCTCTTCTTAAACTAACATCTCCAGTTACTTTCACTGGTGAGTCTTTATTTCATTCAAAAATAAAATAAAACAAGTTAATTTAGTCTGATATCTGTCCTGTTAGCATGAACCACTCATCAGCTAGGTCAGCTCCAGTTATCTGATCAACACAACCCAGCTTATTTCTGTATGTGTGTCTCCTTGTGTTCTTATCCGTTTGGCAGTGAAGTAGTGCTGATGAGTTTGCTTAGATTACACACAATCCTTCTTGCATTTTCCAGATCAACTTCAGCCAGCCTGCCTGCCACAGATTGATCAGGAGTTTAAAGCTGAAACCACTTGTTGGATCTCAGGTTTTGGAACTACTACAGAAGGTTCAAGTAAGATGGACAACAAAGCCACTCTGTGTAGCATGATACTCTGTCTCACTGAATTTCCCATTAAATTTACAGCAGGTAAAATAAGTATTGAACACTTCAACATTTTTCTCAGTAAATATATCACTAGAGGTGCTAATGACATGAAATTTTCACCAGATGTTGGTAACAAC